CACACACACACACACACACACACATACACACACACACACACACACACACACACACACTACTGTGTGAGTGTATGTCTTTACTCAACACTAATGCCTGTAATGATGCTCATAATAAAACATCTCCCACAGGCTGTGAATCATCACCTCAGATGAGCCCGGAGAGGTGCAACACCTCACTCTGTAAACATCCGTGTCAGGTCATAGTCCAGCCTCTTCTTCTTCACACGTTCACCCTGTGCAGCTTGTGGCAGCCATTAACACTAACCTCAACAATTTCATTTTCCACTCCGGACTGCATTATCCTCACTGTATTCAGAGTGTATAGTCGCCTCACTATGAATACTAATTCTGTTCTGAATAAAGGGCAATCTATTATCAAATCCTGAGGTTGTTGCTGGAATTAGCACACACATACAGCACCATGTTTGACAAATGGGTTCATTATCTTCCGGCTGAATGGTCCGCCGGTCGAGGAAAGTAATATTTATGCATTATTTATGCTTGCCGTGATGGAGCCATTTGTACTAATCCGATGTGTACTGTATACACACAATACAGGAGCTCCTATACTAAATCTCTCTGCAAGAATAAAACACTGAATCTGATAATTTATGGGATGTCAACAGGGTCATGACAACAGAGTAAACAATGAGAGGTAGGGAGCAGGAGGTCAGGGACTGTTTGGGACGCAAGACCCCCAGGCTGAATCCAAGCCATCCTTCTACTTAACCCCAAACCTCTTTCTACTGACATGTTATGCTCATTTTCAGGTTCATATCAGTATGTAGTGTCTCTACTGGGACATGTCTCCATGCTTTAATGTTCAAAAAGCTCTTTATTTCTCTCATACTGCCTGTGCTGCAGCACCTCTTTTCACCCTCTGTCTGAAACCAGAGCCCAGTCTGCTCTGATTGGTTAGCTGGCTGGCTCTGTTGTGATTGGTCAACTGCTTAGAGATGTCCTGACCCTTAGCCTATCACATACAATGTGTTGAAGCGCTAGCCAATAGAACAGCGAGTTACATAGTGATGTCATTATGTTACAGAAGTAAACAGAGGAGTCCAATTAAGGCCTTTCAAGCAGGGGGGAGAAGAGGAGAGAAACTCCCTCTGGAGGGAACATCGGGATTTTAGCCTTTGCCGAACACATACACGCCAAAAAACTAAATAACACACTACAGGAACGGGAAAACCCCAAAGAGCATAATCGGGCCCCTTTAAGTTTATTGTAATGTTTGTGGGGCCGTGAATTTGAGATTTTTCCAACAACTCTAGCTATTATGCATAACCTGTCAAGACATCACACAACGTTTGAATCCTTGAATCCTTGAATCCTTTGAATCCTTTGAATCCTTCTGCCTCTATAAAAATAATACTGTACATGCTGCATCTGCATTCCACGTTGGGATTGGACGAACATGGGGATATGCAATATCTTTCAATGTGATGGAATTCATGTGAATACTGAGCTGAAGTTTCATTGTGTGCATTGTTTCCCCTGTGACCAGCACTTACTGACTCGACGTGAACGCAACACACAAGTCTGTGAGGCTTATTCTACAGGTCTAGAATGTGTCCACTTGGATTAATATACTCGGTTTGATCAATCAACAGATGTGTTCACCTCGGGGCATCATATCATTTGAAACGGGGATCTGATTCTTAATACCTTTACTTTGTTACTTCCTCCATGAATCACAACATCCAATTGCTCAGCTTTGTGCTCCGAGCAGTACAACAGATTCAACTTTGTAACAGGCAGGAGCGGAGGTGTGGGCAGTGCAGGGCAACACATCCCGCCTTCCCCCCGCTGCTGTCACAATATCCCATAAAGCCTGACCGTGGCTAGTTTCACAAGTTATTCCTCTGGTTTTATTGAAGGGAGACCAACAGCGTCAACCCCACACAAACAACAAGAATCATCAGTTACAGGTCCATGCATCAATCACAAAGTCACAATTTGTTCCAGCAGCCCAGAATATGAAAAGGGACACAGTAATGCATGAAGGGAATAACCAAAAAAGAATCAAGCCATTAAGGGTATGCCTTTTTTCAGCCATGCAATTTACTGTCTTCAATCATGAGAGCTTACAGACTGACAGTTGATAATGGCTTAAGGACCAAATATAAACAATATGTTCTCGGGTCTTGTCGCTCTCAGCCTCCAAACTGACAAAAGAAACAATTTCCCAGCCTGTTGATTAGAAATCCATTTCCCAACATCTCATTAATAGATTTCTCTCTGCTTTCTGTTTTATCTCACATTGACATTCATCAGCTTCCTTTGCAGAGCCTGGACACAAATCTATTTTATTATTTCCATGTTTTTATTAAAAGGACATTCCTGTCCACAAGTCAAATAACCAGCCTCTTTCGTTTATCGCCGACACAAAAAGAAATGTGAATGAGAAGATCATTTGAAAATACTCTGCTGTAGAAGGGACAGAGCCAAGAGAGGATTAGGTCTGTCCCCTTCCTGCCGTAGCCTCGCAGTGCTCTCAGAGTTAAACATTCTCATTCAGTCACACAGTTTTACGCAGCATTACGCAGGATTAATGGCGACTGTTTTAGAGATGAATTTAACTGTGTCTGAACCTCTCCTGACCTATATCTTCAACTGGAGCGATGCAGCAATGTCCTCTTGAAGGGAGACGCTTCATTCGTTTCAGGATGCTCATGTGTGTGTTTCCGGCACAGAGTAACACTTTGAAGGCAGATGGGCACATTACAAGCTCCAAATGTCTCTAATGCTGAAGAAAGGCACATCAAATAGATAAAGCACATCAAATATTTCCAAACTTAGGATTTCATTTCCTTTTGCTACAAGTCACCAATTACCTGTGTGGCCGGCAGCGAGGCGTCATGTTGGAGTCTCTGCCCTCTAAATATGACTAATTGCCCCTGCTGTTCTGCTTCTTATGATACAGGTTAGAACTCATTACCGGGATGTTCCACCTCACTGGGCTCTGGTGCTCCGGCTCTCTCACAGAGGAGGGGACATAAACAACCACCTGGCCTTGCACACACTCACTCATGTTTTTATGTTTGCCTAAATAATTTGGGGGGTTTTGTCCCTTCCAGCTCAAGAAAGGCTTCCTTCTAGAATCTCTTTTAGCAATGGGTACATTTCCTCCAGGGATTTCTGAAACGTCTGCCAAGTCCACTCTGTTGGGCATTAGCTGCAGTAATACCCTTTTCATTGATTAGTATCAGCGCCTCTGCCTGCAGTCTGGGTGAGCGAGTACAACAAAGCTCGACACAAAATCCTTTTGGTGTGCCAGCGTCGTCAGTTACTGCCGTTAGCTAAGCAAAACATCGGGCACTTGCTTTAGAATGAACCTGGGGCAAGTTTTTCAAGGAACTGACAGGCTTCAAATCAACCTGTTTTCAGATTTGACTTGTCCTTAAGGTAGACCTTGATTGAACTTCAACAATGATTCTATTTTAAGGTGGCGCAACAATTAAACAACACTCGATCCAAATTGCCAAAGGCACAGTGTTGACATATCATGACATTGGCTTCAGTTACGAGCTATAGGGTGTGGTTGACAAATAGAAGACAAAACAATACCTATTGAGATCCAGGCCACAGCTACACCTCTTCAATTCCTCCCTGCATACACCAGACATACAGGCTCAAAAAATCAAAACCCCAGTGAGTCCCTGACAGAAAACTGCTATTCACTTGTGGGTAGTTTCATAGTAAAGATACACCCAGAATGGGTCATGTGTTTTTGGACTATTTACCGAGCCTCAGGTCGTAACTAGGATCAACAAACAAAGGTCTATTTGCAGCATCAAGCTTTGCAGGGGGAAACAGGCACAGTGAAAATGAATAAATCACAAAAACCCACATTAATCTAAAGCATTTCAAACGTTTGCATATATCTGATGCAGCTTCATGCTCTGAGGATTTACAAGGATTAAACACATCTACATTCATCAACCCTGACATGTTACTATGTTTAAATGGCACAGTATGCAAAGCACTAAATAGGAATTTAATTTCAATGATTAAAAAAGGCTTTTCTGGAGCTTGACACCAAACAGCATAAATCAGTGGGTATTTAACATATGGAATGTATTGGATCACTACAATGCTTTCAACCATCATGGTAAAACTTGCATTGCATTGGTGGGGTAAAAGGTTGTCCTAACACCTTAACACAAATATTTTTGGTTTAAAGTTACAAGAACTGTGACTCACCGCTGGGCTGAGATTAATTTAAACATTCAAAACAAAAGAAAAAATGAGGACAAACTATGACGACACATCAGAAAAACGTTCTGAATTCTCACTATCTGCAATAGTGTGCGGAGTGACCAGATTGTATTGGAATTATTACTATTTAATGGAGTTCTCCACGGCTCAATCATTGGGTCTCTTAACATTTATATGTTTCCATTAAGCCAGAAATATCGTACTTTTGCAGATGACATCTAAAGATACGTATCATGTTCAGTGCTCATCTTTACTCAATGATCTTTTTTTAGCGGGTTGGAATCCTAATTAATGGGATGCCACGATCATCCATAAATCGTCCTCTCTAACCTCTCTAACACTTACAACAAATACAAGCAAAACGGCTATTTGTTAAAATAATGGGAACAAATGACATGATGTCACTGCAGACATGTTAGTGAGGGTGCCCTGACTCGCCGCTGCAGGGTGCCCGGTGGCCGCCCTGTGCGCTGCTTTTATCAGTCAGTGGGCAGCAGCAGCCCTGCTCCCTGGGTACCATGTCCGCTCCCTCATCATGTGCGGATACGCTCCTCCCCTGCTGGGCTCAATCAATCACACAACACTGCAACTGTGACCTCCACTGACAGTTAATGCTTTGTGCAAATCAAACCAGCTGAGCAGCACAATCCCATCGAGTGAACGTAAAGCTGGCAGCCGAACACAGCCGATGAATACCTGCTTTAGCTGTTTTGTGTCAGGGCAAATTACAAAGCAAGATGTCGTGCACATAAACGCGTTTTCTCAGATTCTGCTCTTACCTGCCCACTGTTTGGTTGGCGAGCTGTCTCATTCGGTTGAACTGCTTCTTCATCTTGTGGTTTTCTGCGTTAACACCGGGCGGTAGAGCCACTCCACATATCTCTCATTGATAGAATGAAGTCAGATCTCCGCGCTGATCTACGGCAGACGGGAAGGGTCAGTTTTTAAACATCCACGCTTTGAACATCCAGTGTGGGGAACATTGGGCTAAAATCTCGTCATTTTAGCTGATGTGTCTCTGTCCTCCGCTCCTCTCCGCCGCTCCAGAGATGCTGGACCGATTCCTCTCTCCCCCAACACTGACAGCTCGCTGGCGACACGACGATCACCACCGGTGCACTATGGGAAGTGTAGTTGAGTTACAATAAAAACATTTTTTAAATTAATATTTCAGAAATACAGCATCACTTTTGACATTACAAATCAATGCATTTCTAATTGTTGTGTGTTTTTATTATATTATTATTATAAATGATTAAGGTGATATCAGAAATACTCCTTTCCTGTTTCCTAAAATAAAGCCATTTTCCTAAAAGTGTTTCAATAAACGCAAAGACAGGCGTCACCATTATGAAACACAAAAATATAAAGCATTAAAAAAAAAAATACGTCAAATAATAAGAAAAGGAATAATCAAGCTTTAATTGAAATGCTATCAACCAATGTCCACACTGAGGCTGTTCGTGACGAGGGGACAGGTCACAATTTGACAATGGGATGTTAAACCAGGCCAGCAGAGTATTTAAATACAGGAAGTAAGGATTAAAGTAATAGATTTTCTAATTGTCACATTGAATATAGGTCATCAGTAAAGGGTCAAGGACAATCATAGAGCCCTGTAAGCTTTGCACAAGATATTGAAAAATCCCATAATTGGTGCCTCCGAATCAGCTTGTTAATAAATCCTTTGAAACCCATTAAATAATTTCCTTTTTTAAAGCTACATCACTTTAAATTGATACGCGTTCTTGCTGTAATGAAGAATCAAGGACATTTTAGGTATACAATAGTCATCTGGACTGTTTATTTTGCAGGTTTATTATCTGAAGGCTGTATTTTAAATGCCATACACATAATTAGCCTTATCAGTCTCCAATAGGACTATTTATAGCTTGTGAAAAGGAAATGTCAGTAGGCGTGAATATTCATAAAGACATTGTTAATTCTCCATAATGGCTGTTTTAGTCATGAAGGTATTTATTTGAATTTAAGTTCAGTTTTGATGACAGATTTTTTTAAAGTACAACTCTTTCTGTGGTGTAAGCAGCTTGTTGGATGTGACGCTTGGTGCAGTTATACAGTTTATGCAGGCAAACAGCACCATCTTGTGGCCGTCAGAGAAATGGCAGCAACTGAGTGGCTTTCATATGACTGATCTCGAGGAGCAGCATGGATGATGCAGGAAATGACTATGGCCCTTTCTCATTTCTCTAACTCCCCTCCTCGACTCCTATCCTCGAGACTTAGTCCCGCCCACAGGAGATGCGAGCCGAGGAGCCGAGGAGGGGAACCGAGGAGAGAGGAGGGGAAGCAGCAGGCGGTTAGAGAAATGAGAACTCCTCTCCTCTGGGCGGTCATTTTAAAGAGACGTCCATTAATGATGACAGGAGGCACAGCAGCCCTCTGTCTGATGGACAGATGTGTTCATGATGACTTCTATATTTACTTTGATTCATTCACAGTGTGGTATAATGAGACAATAACAGGCTACAGATGCGGACACACACACATATACAGACATATATATATATGTATATATTTATATAAATATATACAATTTCAGAATCAAACAGAGCACTCTCATAATAACGTAACACTATCAGAGACTGGATATATCCCTCCCCCCCCCCTCTGGTCGCTACAATGAGGGAAATAAATTAAGGGCCAAAAGTTTTATTTACAAGTATTAAAAGTAAGCAGAGGACACCAAACCAACTGAGACCTGTCTGTCCGCTGCATCTACGCACACACTGTACCACAGACACGCACCTACAGCTAACAGCCTAACAGCCGTTGTGTATTTTATTATGTGAAGCACTAAATGGTCTTAGAAAAATATCGACTCTTTGTTTGTATATATCTACTAAACTACAGCAAATAAAGAGAGTAGGCCTGTTATACTGAGTGATATATATTATACACACTGCTCTGCTTTCTGCACGGACCTCACAGATGTTCTCTCTGGAAACATCGCGTTGCGATGAAAGCAGTTAATAAAATAATATCCAGGGGATGCATGCAGAGCTGTCATTGGCTGAGATAAGTCCGGCCGTGCGTCACGACTCTTTGAAACATCTCTGTTGCCGGAAATGCATCCATGAAGGAGCCGTGGAGGACCCATCAGTGTATCCTCGGTTTGAGCTCCTCCAGAGAGCCTCCTCGACGCTCGATCCTCGAAGTGCATTTAGAGAAATTAGATGTCCTTCAACATGGTGCGCTGAAATTCATTTCCGGGTCACTACCGGAGGACCGAGGAGTCGAGGAGTCGAGGAGGGAGATTTGATGAAATGAGAAAGGGCCTATGTATAAATCTACCCGCACAGAAGTATCTATGTTCACTTGTTTTATTCACTACATCCAAACATAGATGATCCCACAGTGTTGTTTTTCTAAAAAGACTTTGTCAGGCATGGAAGGGTGTGGTGATTTCAAGATTGAAGATTGAAGATTCAAGGCTTTATTGTCATGTGCACATCAGCTACAGCGTTGATATGGCAATGAAAAACTTAAGTCACATTTAAGTAGGCAATTAGTAGTTTTTATAACGTAAAATAAAAACATTTTTTAAATAGTCAAAAATGTTTAGATAAGAGATAAGTTAATACTTTTTTTATTTTGTTAGCAGTAAATTACATTATTTTGGGAATATACATAGACATGGAAACCGTCTTGCAGTTCCTTTTACACATTTTTTAATGCATTTTTTGTATAAATGTGTACCCTTTGTAAAGGGTACAAATGTATACAAAAAATGCATTAAAAAAATGTGATGTTTTAGTTCTGTAATTGGTTTATATTTGTGGGGTCTCTCTATTCGATGGGTTGTGTGGAATAAATATGAAATATAAATAAATACATCTTGAAAAAACTATATAAAAAGTGACAAAAACAAGAAAAAAACATATAATAATTGTAATAATTCAACTGTAAATCATGACTCAGTGCTGTTGCAATCTGCTCTCACAGAGGGCGCCAATGAGTCCTCGTCTGATGTTTTGACTCGCACCAGAAGAAGAAGGGTTGCTACTGTAGTTTTCTTGGTGAATGACACTAGATCAAAGTTTCCAGTCTCTTTTAGAGTTTCTTTCTCTGCTTGGGAACAACCTACCATACTTCCGCGTGGAGTCGCAGCTTGTCTGACATCTGACTCTCTGAAAAAATGCGGGACCGGACTAAAGAGTTAGGAAATGTGAGTACACGGCTAACTTTAGCTTTCACACGATAGCCTGCTAACTTAGCAAAGTGAAAACAGTTTATTAACAGGTGCTCACTTCACTGTTCAACCTGCACAGCTTGTAATGAGAGGATACAACACCAAACATGATTAAAATAACAATGTGGAGCGTTTTGCGTGTGTGAATGTTAACTTTCGCAACAATTTACTCCCAACTTCCGTTCCAGCCCTGTCTTCTTAAAGGGTATGCCAGGCCGGGAAAGGGCATGGCAGCGTTTGTTTTTATGCTTTAAAATGGAAATATCTTCATTTTCATTGTGTTAATTCATTTGTCTGTTATCTGACTTATAGAAGGCAGAGGCTTCAGATGAGGACGAGGAGGCAAAAGCTCTTGTGATCAAACCTGGAACCTCTTCAGCCAAAGAGGAGAAGGAGAACGATGCATTCTTTAAAAAGGTCAAGCTTGTCTACATATTGATATGAATCCGAGGAGAGCAGACAGATCAGATCACACAGATTCTCTCTCATTGTTGCCTCAAGTTCGAGTTCCATAAGTCTTCAATTATACACTTACACAGATGTTTAGATGTGTCTTTGTTTACATTTGCATTGACCCAAAGAATATGATATGTACATTTATATAAAATCATTCTAAAGTTGTATTGATGAACTGTCACAGATATAAACCAAATGACATAGAAGTTGCTGGATATCATTTGTAATAAAAAAATAAGCGACTTCAAAATATTTGTCCAAATTAAAATCAGAAATCGTTTATTGTTTCTCAAAATATATAATACATTGAAAAAAGAACAAGATAAGACACCGGCACTGTACCTAGACCTACACATAATTATTTATTATTTGATCTATTAAATAATAATATAATTTAGTTTAGAAAATGTTGTAAAATCACAAGATAAATATTTGCAAGGTAAAAGGTCCCAAGGAGTTTTCCCAGGATTCATTGTTCTTGTCTTTCAGTCTATGCCTGAAATAATAGTTGTAAAAAAAAGGTTTAAACATTAAAAGCTTAATGATTGTTTACATTGTTTAACTGAGGAATGTCCGCTGTAGGTTGAATAAATGGTCACACAGCTTGGAAGAGAAGGAGGAAGGACAATTAATACTGTATATAGTAAAGTGTGTCACCAGTGTAACCGGTTAAAACTCAAAGTGGTGATGTGGTCTTGAAATGTATGGAAAGGGTTTTGAAAAAGGTCTTAAAAGGTATTACATTTAACTTCAGGATTCCTGCATAGACACTGAACAAAAACATCATGCTTTTTTTATCGCCCCAGCGGTCCACTATATACAAATAATCAATTAGAAAGGAAAAGCAGCAATATCCTTTCTTTTCAAAGAATGGAACCACAGCATGTCTGGCATATTTACAAATGAATTCACCAATTAATCGATCAATTACACTTCATGTGGATCTGTTTCCCCTACAACTAAATGCACATTTGAACAGTGCTTCTGCCTTTTCCTAATCTCAGATTCAAGAAATTCACGAGGGGCTGAACAGCCTCAAACAGATGGTGTCTAACCTGGAGAACAAACAGAAAGCTGTGCTGGGCGAGCCGCTGCCGGACGACAGTAAGTGTGTTTGTCCATGCCATCAGTCTGTACAGATTTGGGTACTGACTATTTCTGTAAAGGCAAAACTTAAAGTCACCACCTTTTTGAAAGTTTTGAAAGTCTTTTACTGTTAGGTGAACAATATATTTTGTTGCAGATAAAGGTATTTTTGAATCCACATATTTTTCTGAATCTCTCGTCTTAAGTGTCACTACTCAGAGGGTTCACATTATCTGTTGATGTTTTCCTCAGGTACGAAGAGAGAGCTGCAGACTCTTCGAGAGGAGATCAAAACGTTGGCGTGTCAGATTCAGAGAAAACTGAAGAGTGAGTATTGGCGTC